CCCTGAATACGAATCACAACGCATCACCGCCCAGCTCGTCTCCCAACAACACACGTCCAACGGCAAGCGCTGAATCCAGCCCCGCGATCTGAAAGCCTAAGTACTGGGATGTGCAGGGGCAGGGCGTCGCGTATCACTGTATTGGGACGTGGGGGGGGCCCCCCCACGTCCAGACCGGCAAGGTGTATTAGGATATTTTCCTATTACCACCCCCCCCCACGCCCCCCCCCAGATAACCTGGGGCAATGAGCCCCCCCAAATGATCCTTAATGACGATGATGGTCATCATGATCTGCGCTCTGCCACTTCGGGTCCTGCCGCTGTTTTTGCCCCCAGGTTGGGGCCACGGTTCTCATGGCCAGTTCGGCAACCGGGGCACGGCTTCCTTCCTTGGGGGACGATCCGCGCGAGCAGCTTGGCCAGGGATTCGATTTGAGGGCTAAAAGTTGAAGAAGGTTTGTTAGGCTTATAGGGGCTTCCTAGGGGTTATATGGGGTCATATGGGGTTACTTGGGTCTATGAGGTTCTAGGAGGGTAAAAGAGGTTGGATGGGGGTGCCGAACAGCCCTAAACCCTAAACCCTAAGCCCTCCCTAAACACTTGACCCTAACCCCCTTCGAGGATGGGTGAGCACCTGCCCGTGAGCCTCTTCTTCAGCGAGGGCTCCGACTCTGCGACGCCTGAGGCGGACCAGGGTGTGTCCGTAGTTGAGCGGTTCCGGGGCGGCTTAGGCCTTCGTCTTCCCACACACGGCCGATGCGTTCAAGGTTTCTTCGGGGCGTTTAGCGAAGATGATCCCAACCCTAAGCTCCCTAGAGGTAGGGACGCCAAGAAGCCCCAAAATCCTCAAAGCAGCCCCGCAGTTCTCGGGCTTAGGGTTTAGGGGTTTCGGGGTTTAGGGTTTAGGTCATCAAGCTCCGTTGCGCATGGCCTCAGCACCACATCACTCCCGCCGCCACCCCCTTGCTGGACCCGTTATCCTGCACCCTGAACCAAAGCTTCGCGGACAACTTCCTTCCACGTCGAGTACAGGGCTCCGGGTTTCGTGTGCATAGAGCTTCGGGTTAAGACGTGCCCCCCCCCCACTTGGACATCATACTTATAACCCTACTTCTAACTACCCATGAACTTCCAAGCACACGTGAGAACATAGCTACAGTGGTGTTACGGGAACCAGGACACTATGAAGATGTTTTTTTCTGATTCCCCTTGTCCGTCTCGAAGAGGCCCTTTAGGGTTTCGGGGTGTGGGGGTTGAGGGTTGGAGTGCATTATTTCGGATTTAGGGTTTAGGGTTCAGGGTTTAGGGTAGGTCATCGAGCTCAAAGATGGGTTCTAGGGGCGGTAGGAAACCAAACGCCCTGAATACCCCCCAGCCCGAAACCCTAAACCCTGAACTCTAAACCCAAACCTTAAACCGTAAACCCTGGCCATCCCTGACTTAGGCTCCCCTTACAAAGCAACCAACCCAAACAAAGGGTTTAGGGTTTAGGGTTTAGGGGGTTTAGGGTATTGTGCTCTTTTTTTATTATGGTGGCTACCAAGACCCTAATCCTCAAATCCCTCCAGCAGGTGACAGCAGGCGATGTCTTTGCTACCCTGGATGCCGACGGCACTAGGATGTTTGCGATCGAGGACTTCAGGCGGGGTTTAGGGTTTTTTAAAACCCTGAACCCTAAACCCCGAACCCCAAACCCTGAACCCTAAACCCTAAATTTGAGGGGTTTAGAATTTCGGGTTTCTAGGTGGTTCCTGGGATCCTGGTGAGGGCTTAGTTAGAGATCAGGATCGGATGGCTTCTGCGTCACGAAGACCAACGCCTTATCCGCCTTATCCATTAGGGCACACACCTAAACCCTAAACCCTATGGGGCAGCAGCTTCTGCCCGATGTTCGCGAGCTTGGAATTCGCAAGTGAAGCAACGGCTTCTGGCCTCACCAGGAGAGGTCTACAATCCTGAAACCTCAAACGCTAAACCGTCAACCCTAAATCCTAAGCCCTGAGCCCTAGAATCCCACAACCCTTCCCCTCAACCCCTCTCAGCCCTAAATCCTACGGTTTAGGGTTTGATTAGGCTCTAGGGTTTAGGGTTTAAGGCCTGTTTTGGGTTTGAGGGTTTAGAACCCCTCAGCCTAAACCTCCTAACCCTGAAAAGACCCTTGCTCCGCAGCCCCTAAACACCTTTTGGTGAGGTCACCGTCGTCGAAACTCTAAGTGGGGAGGATTCTGAAAGCTCATCCGTGCGTGAGCATGCTGGAGACCGTGGCTGGAAAGAAAGCCCTTGGATCCGGTGAGCGAATCGGCAATCGTTCAGCATTCCGCCTGCCCAGCTGCCAGTCAAAGTCGGTGGTGCACCGTTGTCAATGTGATTTGGTGTTGAGGCCTGTGAATCCCTAAACCCTAAACCCTGAACCCTAAACCCTGAACCCTAAACCCTAACCTTAAATCTTAAACCCTAAATCTTAAACCCTAAACCAGGCGTGTAGCTCAGGTGGCCAAAGCTGAGCGATCAGAGAGATAATAGCTACTCCCTCAGGCACAGCTATGCTAGCCAGGCCAAATGCGCCAGGCTTCTCAAAGGCCCCCAGCGGCCCTCAACCCCGCCTCCTCCCCCCTAAACCCCGAAAACCACGAAACCCCACGCCAAACCCTAAGCCCTAACATCCTAAACCCAAAGCACCTATGTAAACCCCCACCTCAAGCCAGGAAGCTGTGTGCCGCCCTGGACTTCAATATGGACCCCAAGGAAATCGACGAGATGCTTCTGAGCTGCAAGGGCATTATGGGTGTTAAGGTTTAGGGTTTCAGGGCTTCTTGGGCTGACAGGATTCATAGGGTGTCAGGCTTGCAGAGCTTATGGTTCTCGTACGGGTTTAGGATTCAGCAAGATGTCGCAGGCCGCCTCGAACGCGTCCTGACAGGGTTTAGGGTTGACGGCTTGGGGAACCGAAGCCCTGAACACCAAGCCCTCGCCCGAAAATCCGACAAGCCGTATGACACGAAACCCGAAACCCTGACATAGGGTTCACAACGCCAGCTTTTCAGGGACTCGTGGGATGAGGGGAATGAAGAGGTGTAAACACGGCATGACCGGCATAGTGGCATAGTGTGATGCCTCACGAAGTTGCAAGTAGCTCGTATCGAAGTGTGGCCAGGCAGAGGCCTGCCTCCTCCCGCTTTCCACCCCTCCCCCCCGCCTCCCTCCCTCCCCCTCTGCCCGTCCCTCGCGCACTCTCAGACGCGTATTCCAGACTGTAGACTGTGACGAGACCCCTTTGAGAAGTATTCCATGAGTAGGTGGTTTGATGCAGGAAATTTGGAACATGAACACAGTACCTTCAAAGCACAACCCACACAAGCTCGGGCATTGCCTGACTCACCAAGCCAGAGCCATCAGCATCGGCATAGGCAAACCTTCGAATGTACGAGTTTAGGCTTTAGGGCAGTTTGGGGCTATACGAATTAGGGTTTAGGAATTTTTGGGCTTGGTCTACAAGGGCTTAGGTTGAGGCTTAAGGGGTTAAAGGGCTAGAGAAGGAAGTTGCCGCCCAGATGCAAAGCGCTGTACGACTCTGCAATGACACAGCTGGCACTCAATCTTATAAGCCCTAACACCCTAAACCCGAAACTCGCCCAAAACAAAACAGCCAACAAGCTGTATAAAGCCCCAAACCTTAGAAGCCCTACAAACCCTGCAAACCCTATATGACCTCTAAACCCGTAAGAGAACTATAAGCTCTGTAAGCCTGACACCCTATGAATCCTGTAAGCCCAAGAAACCCTGGAAACCCTAAACCTTAACTCCAATAATGCCCTTGCAGCTCAGAAGCATCTGGTCGATTTCCATGGGGTCCATATTAAAGCCAAGGGCGGCACACAGCTTCCTGGCTTGAGGCGGAAGTTTCAATGGTTGTTTTATCGGGTCCCTTTAATGTGTTTAATTGTAAACGCTTAAGGAGGAAACAGGGTTTCTGTAACAAAGGGGAGGAAGGGTCCAGGTCGGGGGTGTCGGGAGGTTAAAGGGGTTAAGGGGGGGGTGGGGGGGGTGGGTGGGAGGGGGGGGTTGGGGTGGGGGGGGGGGTTGGGGCAGCTCCCTTCAAGCGATGGGGGGGGGGGTCCCACAGGGCGGCAAGGGGCGGGGGGGGGGGGCGGCGTGACAAAGTCTTGCATGGGGGTGTCGAGGATGTTTATGATGGCCTAAGTGTACCTTAATGGGGGATTTAGGGTATCTTCAACAGGGTATTTGGGTGGTTTACGTGGAGTCTATAGGGTTTAGGGCTAAGAGGTTTCGACCCCTTCGAGGGAGTTCCTTTGTGTTGAGGGTTTGGGGTTTAGGGGGTTTCGGGATGAGGGTGGCTGCATGTCTTGTCTAGGTTACTGTCCAAGACCAACTTACCAGAGGGTCGTGTTGACGTTGGGAGCTTTGCTGGCCTTCCCCCGAAACCGCGAACTCCTGCAGCCTTAGCTCGCAAAACTCCCGAACCCCCAAGCTCCTAGGCGCCTAAAACACGCCCCCCCCAGCCCGGGTCCTCTGCAGGTCCTTTGGTGGCCCCGTAAAGTGAGGGTCTTCAGGGTCCGCAGCAAGATGCCTCCGGGGGTTTTTCTGGGGTCCCTACGCCGACTGGCCGCCTGCAAGAAGGTTTTCCTAAATCACGAGACTCGATCTTTGTGCTCCAAACAGAGAAGAGAACAAGAAAGAGAGAAAGGAGTGAGAGTGGGCGTGGACGAGAGGCGAGCCAAGTGAATTGTTATGCCACCATCCCACCAGCAATAGGGGCTCAAGGGCTCAAAGGCTGAGAGCAATATCTCCTTTCAGGATTTTAAACCTAAACTCTTCAACCCTGACCCTTAATCCCTGAAGCCATAAGAGTGGATCGTCTGCTATGGTTTTTTGAGGTGCTATACGGTGTACTTGGATACAACCCCACGTCTGACTGTGCTTATCAAGGCCCTCCGCCTCTACGACGACCGGTCGCGGTCAATCATCTGTTTCAGAAGTTCATGCCCTGCCCTTACCCGGCGAGGAGTGCACAGGCGACTTGGGGCCAACTAGAGTCAGGGAAGGTTGGGGAGCATGTTGGAGCTGTCGGTTTCGGAGCTTCCCCAAAATTTGGCAGGCGGTGCCGCAGACCCGCGTGACGCCGGTCGGTGTCATCAAGTCGCTGCACATGATGTCAGGAGTCCTGGGGCCGCCACCTCCAAAGTCCCCAACCCGCGGTGGTGGTGCGCCATCTGCCAGTGGCCCGAGTTCTGGCACCCACAAGCTACAGTCCGCCGGCATGGGGTGCAGAGAGAGGTATGGCTAGAATAAGTCTTAGTGCTCCGTGTTGTGCCTCCGCTGCCAGTTTTGAGGTCACGCAAGTGCGTGGACTCCTCAGCGCCCATCTTCAGCCTCCTTGGGCAGCACTCCACTGCACTGCTGCTAAGACTGCTGAGCTGAGACCAGGGAGGCTTCATCCGCCTCATGTCTCTCTGGAGCCGCTCTGGAGAGTCACCCTTTTGAAACTCTATAAACAACATATGGAGGAGCTGCTTGAGACCCCACGCAGCACACCTGGGGCAGCGCGGGAGCTGTGGAGGAGGCCTGAGGGTTGAGGGTTTAGGGTTTTAGGGTTTTAGGGTCTAGGGTGTGGGGTTTCGGAAATGCCATCACTGCACACTCGCCGAGGCCAGGACTTTTTCGGGGTTTCGGGATAGGGTTACAATTACAGGTTGCTGCAGTGACGCTACCTTCTTTCACTATCGCCCTGCTTCGAAGTTCTCATGCACCTTCGGGGAAGCTGCGTCCGAGCACAGGTTGCGCGGTGCGACGAAGGTGGCGACGCCGATGGCAGCTGCTGTGACAACGCCTATGGCTCTGCCCGTGCCTCTACGACGACCGGTCGTGGTCATCTGTTTCAGAACTTCATGCCCCGGAATTTCCCCGGCGAGGAGTGCGCAGGCGACTTTGGGGCCAGAGTCAGGGAAGGAGCTGTCGGTTTGGAAGCCTCGGCGGCCTCAAGCCGGCACGGTGGTGGTGCAGCATCTGCCAGTGGCCCGAGTTCCTTGCACCCACGTCTAAGCTACAGCCCGCCGGCATGGGGTGCAGAGTGGCATGGTGGCAATTGCCTTGTGCCTCCGTTAGAAGTTGCAAGGTCGCGCCAGGGGACATATGTGCCGGTGAAAGAACGTTTTGTCACCGGCACATATGTCCCCTAAGGACTTTGGCTTCCGAGGCTGAAGATGTTTTTGGGCAGGCTCTGCCGCGTCGTCCACACACGGGCGTATGACATGTGCCGGTGAAAAAACAGAAGCGCCGCTGTGGTTTCTACGGTGCTGCCAGTGAACTGTCTGTTTTTCATGAGAGCGACGTCGCAGTGAGACTTAACAGCATCCCTAGATTTGGCTCAAAAGTGCAAAGTGCATTGGAGAGCTGAGCCAACTTTGCGCTGACAGCTTCAGCTTTCTATGCATTGAGCAGTGATGCCAAGGGCTTAGAAGGGATGCCGGAGCGCCGGAGGTTTGTAAGGTGTTAAGGGTACCTATCCTGGAGAAGCTCGATGCCGATGCCTTGTTTGCCGTGGGCCCAACAGGCCTGGGAAGCTACTGTTCGCGAAAAAACCCGGTGGGGGTTCGGGTACTTGAGGGGGTTACCACGTCTAAATCCAGAGGTTTCTATGCTGCCAAGTTCCTCCCTGTGAATAACCCCAACTTCGAACTGGCCCACGCTGTGGCGCAGGTTTTCTGCTGGGACTGCGGTCGCCTGCCTTGGAGGCGAGGTTGGGAGGGCCTTTGGGCTTTGAAGGTGCAGGGTGTGGGTGGTGCAAGGTTAAGGGTTCTGGGTCGAGCTACCATGAGCTACCGGTTTTCGATTCACATCTTTGGGAGCCGGAAGCCATGATGCGTGGTCTGCTGTTGGATTTGTGTTGCTCGTGCTCGCGCCTGTGGCAGCTCACGACTTTGTGTCGCCAGGACCACCAAAAAGGCGGACCTCCAGGACTCGGCTTACCATGCTGCTGAAAGGGCGGGGGCTTTGGGGGTTTTGACGGGTGTCTCAGTTTTTAGCGTGAACCTCGGTCCCAATGGGCCCACTGGAAGGAGCAGACGGCGAGCCTCCAGACCGAGCACAAGGCAGGATTCGTTATGGGATAGGTTGTACATCATGTACATCGTGGGTCTGGCCGGGTTTGGATGACTATAAATAGGGCTTGAGCTGAGGTTTTGGGTTCAGGGTTTGGGTTTCGGGCTTTGGGTGTTGGGTATGGGATGGGGTGAGGTGGACTTACGTAGTGGCAAGCACAGGTTTGTCGATTCCGGACGAAGATGCCTGACCGCAAATGCCCAAACAAATTGTGTGGGGACACATCCTTCACAAAGCACAGCCGACAACTCCGCAGCGAGCGTGATGTTGGCGCCCCAAAACTCACACGCAGTATCTCGAAATCCTGGAGCGAAGACACAGAGAAAAACTGTCATCCTGCCCGTCAAATGCTTGGGTCTCCGGGGTTCGCACCGAAATGTCACGGTCTCTGACTGTGCGGCAGTCCCTAAACCCTAAACCCTATCAAACCCTAAACCCTAAGCCCTAAGCCCTAAGCCCTAAGCCCTAAGCCCTAAGCCCTAAGCCCTAAACCCTAAACCCTAAACCCTAAACCCTAAACCCTAAACCCTAAACCCTAAACCCTGCCTTCCAAACATCAAGCTGATGGTTTGCCCTGCCCAGTGTTCATGTGAGCTAGACAAGTGTCTCCAGCACGTTGCCAGCTGCTGCCTAGCCCCACCACCGTGTAGGTTTCTTTAACCTTGTTGTAGAGAGCCCCAAACCCTAAACCCTAAACCCTAAACCCCAAACCACAAACCCCAAACCCTAAACCCTAAACAGTTGAGAGTTTTTTTATGTGGAGCTTGGGAAGGTGCTCGGGCCGGGTAGGCATCCTTGCCGGGTGAAGCAGACCTGTTGTCGCCGTGCTTCCTTTGCAGCACTGGTAATGTAAAATACATGTTTGTGTCTCCACCATGTCTGCGTCATTGCTTTTCATGTTTATGCATGCAGTGTCATAGACTGAAGCGAGCGTGAAGTAACCCTGGCGCAGCTTTTCAGGATCCCCTCCCCCAAAGTTTCTTACGTCGCAGGTGCCCCAATCTTCGCCCCTTAAGCTGTCTGTGCAGAAATCAGGACCTCTTGCCGGCGGTGTGGCGGCCGCGGCTACAGGAGTCGAGCTTGGCTTTAGCCATTCAGGCTGTTTTTGGGGGAGGTTAAAGCTCTCGATGGGGTCAAAGTAGCAAAACCAAGGAAACCCAAAGCTGTAACTCTCAGATTCGCTCCCTTCGGTGCTCGGCTACGAGCATGAGATACCGAACAGCCTTTTCACTACTCCTCGCAACGTAACGAGTAGACGTACCGTGGGCCACAGGCTCTTATCCACAGGAGAGTCAGCAACCGAAAAAGCTATGCACTCCCACATCAATAAAAATGTCAAGGCCGTGAGAGTTCCCATCCCCAAACCCTAAACCCTAAACCCTAAACCCTAAACCCGCAACCCTAAACCCTAAACCCTAAACCCTAAACCCTAAACCCTAAACCCTAAACCCTAAACCCTAAACCCTAAACCCTAAACCCTAAACCCTAAACCCTGTTTATCGAAGAAGGAGGCAGCTTTGCTGGCTGGCTGCAAGGAAGGGGAGGCCAGCAGGCTAGAGACCAGAGAGAGGAGGTTTAGGGTTTAGGGTCCAGGGTTTAGGGGTTAGGGTTTAGGGATTAAGGTTTAGGGTTTCGGGTTTAGGGTTTAGGGTCCCGGGTTTAGGGAACCGTGCCAAAGAGGAAGCGCATCTTACTAAAAGCGGATATCAGAAGGTTTGAGGAAAAAAGCGCGGCTTCAAAGGTTGAGGGGGAAGCTTTTGAGGCCTTCGCATGAGAGTTCATGCAGATCAGAGTAGACTTTGCACAAGTAGCCGTGATATCTGGTTGTGCGGAACGGTCATTCGCAACAGGCTCCACTCTAAAATGAAAAACAAGACAAACCCTTCTGGTCCGCCCCACACTAGTATTTCCTTGTTGTCCCTTTATGCTTATAAACAAAAACAACTCTACTCATGAAGGCCCCTTTGTACCCTAAGCTTGGGATGTTCCCCTTATACCAACAGTCCTTAATCGGGATGATCGTGCTCCCTATTGTAACCCCTATGAAGGACTGTTAGTATTGGGTGGGTGCTTCTATCAGGCACTGGCTTTGCAAAGAGCTGAGCTGTGCGCAGGTGGCGGTCGAAAAGGAGGATGTGTGCGCGCGGCTCAGCGATGACCGCGTTGCCTGCTGGGGTCACGGCCCGAACGGACAGCTGGGACAACAGCTGGATGTCCAGTCTGTGGGCCTGAAGTTAGAAAAGCTTTATTTTGTTTGACAAATAAGTTCCGTCACAGGTTCGGTGGCTGTACCGGGTACGCGTGTGAAGCCTGCGGTGCAATGGTAAAATGATGCTCAACACCCTTAAGCACCCCAGTCCAGCTGCCCTGAGAATCACCCGAAACCCGAAACCCTTAAACCCTCAACCCTCAACCCTAAACCCTCAACGCTGAACCCTAAAGCCTCGAGGTCCGAGGACATGGGGGATAATTTGGTCCCAGCCAATCTGGGCCAGGGAGCCCTGGACGTGGTGGCCGGGGACGTTCAGAGCTGCGCCCGGCTGACGGATCAGTCCCCGAAATGCTGGGGCACCTGGGTCTTCATTCAGCAATCCCAAAGGTATCCCAACGCAGATCGCTCTTTTATTTTGATTGTTTGTTTTTTTTTTTTTTTTGTGTGTGTGTGTGTGTGTGTGTGTAAACGCCTGAACATGGTGATCGCTGTGATTGACATTTCCATTTGCAGGGGGCAGTGACCCGCTCATAAGCTCACTGCCAATGAAGCTGCTTATGAGTTGGGAGGATATCCAGGCTGATCACCTGGACGTACCTGCATGTAGAGTGGGATACCACACTGCTTGTGACATCATGTACCCTGAAGTCCCGAGGCAGGCAACCATGCTCCTTTTCATTCTTCCCTTCTTCTTGACTCCTCTTGAGTGTGTTGTGGGTCTGGTGGTTGGTACATGTTGGTACCGTGATCACTGCATCAGTTCATGCCAAGCCAAAGTGTGTACCAGTTCTGGTTTTTCCCGACATGGGGCCAGATCTCAGGGGCATGTGCCCGAGCCCGCGATAGCGGATGAGTGAATCACAACGTTGCAGACGCTTGTTCTCATCCATCGGGATCATCTGCAGTAGGATGACATGTGCCCACAGTGGGCTTCATCGGGATCATCGGTCACTGCACGGTCAAGGGCCGCGGTC